TAAGGCATGGGTTACCATGCTCATTTCTCAGATGAGGAGGATGAGGTACGAAACATTAACCACAGCATAAGAGCCAGGACTAAACCTTGGATGTCCTGACAAATGATCCAAGGGTCCATCCTGCTAGACCCAAGATTTTCCTTCCTGCCATCCAGTTGCACCTTTGTAGTATTGAAATTGACTGCAGCGCTCTAGGTGTGTGAGAGGGAGCACGGGGCAGTGGCCAGAGTACCAGCCACCAAGCCGGAAAAACTGCACTCTGACAGGCTGTCAGGGCTCTAGGACAGAAGGCTTAAAGACATGGCCCGCCAACCACATGCAGACCATCATGCTAATGGGTATGACCCCAACCAGACTAAATGTCGTTCCTAGCTGATGTTAGTGTGTTGATAAAGGGAGAAATCTATAAACATGTATAATTTTCTAAGTTAATATGCAGCCCACAGAGATACTTATGTATGGCTTAGTGGCCCACATTTCCATTTGGGTCTGACACTATCGCTCTCAGCAGCTCTCTTTCATTGTGGAGGGTTGCTGACACATATTTGTGGAGGGAATGTCCTCATCTGGGAATTCCCCAGTACAGTCCCTATCCCACTACATCTATAGAACCTCAGAGATAGGATGGGATGGGATGGGAGAGGGATGAGAAAAGGGTGATCCAAGTTCACCAAGGAGGAAGAGAAGGAGCACACTGGTCATCTATATGGCGGTAAGAAAGCAATATGAAGTCCATCTGATTATTCAGACTTTTGTTCTCATGCCCCTTTTTTCCAACCAATGTTTTCCTGTGGGCTGCAAGTTGGACCCAGTCAGGGGTTCAAAGTCAGTGTATCTTCCTTCTGCCTGTCCCTTCCACAATTCTTGCTTCCTACTGAGGGATTTTGACATGCAAACAGATTATTATATAAATGATCATTTGAGAAGAGAAGGCCCTGACAGAATGATCAGGAGGGGCTTCTTCTTACAGAAGGTGGCTCAGGAGAGGATGTGAGCTCTGTGCTGAGGTGGACCCCTTGTCCAAGGGCGGGGGGTGAGGGGTGGGGACACATTAGGCTTCACCCCCAAACACAGGAGAGGCAGCTGCTGTTCACACACAGCTCACTTCTCAAGCAGAATGTCCAGACTACTGAACTGTCCTGGCTGCACTGAGCAGTGGCTACTCCAGCCAAGATGGAAGAACGGCCGGCCCCTTAATCCAACAGTACCTCAGAGAAGTTCACACATGGCTCAAAGGTGAACATATTTGGTTCTGTCCCCAACAAAAGCACTGCCAACACTGTGAAACCTTGACCTAGAGCAGCATGGCACAGTAAAAAGCATACTGGACTTGCAGTCAAGTGACCTGGGTCTCAATCAAGGCTCTGCTACTTGACTCTGGGTGAAAATGGCCAAATCACTCAACCTCACGGGCCTGAGCTCCTCATCAGTAAACTAACCAGATAGTCTCCAAGGCCCCTTTCAGCTCCTGGACTATCATTCTGTGAAGGCATGGTCTCTATTTAAAAAGTCACAGCTCTAGAGTGGGGCTGCCTCCTTCTGAAGGATCCCACATGTCAATAATGCCTCGGTTCTCCAGGCACGACACTGCTCTTATCCAAAGAATTTACATTCACACAGTGATCGATCTAAGTTTTATCAAATGGCTTACATTGCTTATGTCATCATGATATCAAAAATTCCTTGCATCCTAAGACCCTACATCTGCAGCTAGAAGCCACCTTTGATAAGAGGAGCGTGGAGCACTGGACTTGGAGACAAAGGACCTGGCTTCAAACCTTGCCTCTGCCATTTGCTACATGTGTGACCTTGAATAAGACAGTTCTTCTTGGGTCTCACTTTTGTTATTTAGACGTTCAGTGTTGTCTGACTCTTCGTGACCTCATTTGGAGTTTTCTTGGCAAAGATACTGAAGTGGTTTGACATTTCCTTCTCCAGCTTATTTTACTGATGAGGAAACTGAGGTAAACAGGGTGAAGTGATTGCCCAGGGTCACACAGCTAGTAAGTGTCTGAGGCCAGATTTGAACTCAGGTCGTTCTGACTCCAGGCCAGACACTCTATCCACTGCACCATCTAACTGCAGGGACTCACTTTGCTCTTCTGTAAAATGGAAGGATTGGACTAGATGACCTTGAAGGTGTCTTTCAGCTCCCAATGTATCAGATCTACAACTGGACTAGATTTGAATAGTTATCTAGTTCAAGCCCTTCACTTTTTTTGGGTGAGGAACTGAGGCATAGGGAATTTAAGTGGCTTGGCAAAGCCCACGCAGGTAGAGTGTGTCAGGACTGGAATTTGAACTCAAGTCCCATGACTCCAAGTTTGGCCCCTTTCCCACCATACTGCCCTCCCTCTTCTTCTTCAAAGGCTCCCTGGTTTCTGGTGTGTGTCCCCCTCCCTCCAGCTGAGGCTGGTGGCTCATGCCTGTACCACTTAGCCACCATACTCTTAGAGACTACTTCACAAGTCGCTGTGACCTAACAGCCTACCCGCTAGTGGCCAGCCTTCGGATGATGCTCAGAGAGGCCTGGACTCAGACAGATGCCTAGCCCTGTTGGCAGGTCCATATTCAAAGCCTTTCAGGCCTGGCACGAAGCTGCCAGGGCTTGTGCTCCATTGGCAGAACCCTTGGGAATCCTGCCAGGGTCATATCCAGGCCACAACAAAGCATCAGAGTGGGACTGTATGGGAGGAATAAGAAAATCTAACCTGTGCTTTCAGAGAGCTTTACGGCATATAAAGTGCCTTCCTTGCCTTGCCCCTGTGGGGTGGATAGCCCAAGGATTACCAGCTCATCTAATAGATGTGGAAACTCAGCCCTGGACGAGCAAGAGAAGCGATTTCACAAGAGCATTTCATTTCTGGATGACAGCTCCCTTGCTTTGGACAAATGGGTGCGGAAGGTGGGGAATCTCATAAAATTTTAAATCAATAATATTTAATGGCTCGTTGTCACCAAGAGCCTCCAAAAGTCTGAAGGAAGAATCTGCTCAACAACTTAGCTGATGCTCAGAGCCCATGTTCTAGTGCTCTGGCTCTCTGGCTCAAGACATGACTGCAGCTAGGCTTCCCTGAGACCAACTGGGATAAGGGTAGGCAACCTCCATCCAGTGATTAAGGAATAAAGCTAGTCTGGACCTTCAAGGATGAACTAGGAAGGAGCTCACCAATCCAAGTTCTGAGCTGGGTCAGAAAAGGAGACCCTGCAGAGTTGACTCCAGCCTTCTCCAGGGGCCAGAGGGGAGAGGCAGGCAAGCTTTGGATGGGAAAGTACCCACCAAAAGATCCGATGAACAGCTGCCTGCTGCAATGCGGGGCAGGGACAGGGGGCAGTGGAGAAGCCAAGAGAATTATCCTCAGCCTGAAAGGAACTCAATTAGTCCTTTGGTGAACACATCTTGGTTCTCTTCCCCACTGCCATGGTCCCTCTCTTCCCCTGGCCCAAATCACAGAAAGAAAATTCAAGATTGCAGGACCAAACTTCTCTGTTTGGAGAAAGGATATAGGAATTAAATACATAAGTGACATTTTAGCACGCATCTGGAACATAATTTTAGATTACATAATCACACAGTTTGAACTGAACCTTTTTGCAGTGTTGAGCTCAGTGTGAAATGAAATGTGTATGTGTCCATCTCTCTTGCGCGCGCGCACACGCACACGCACACACACACACACACACACACACACACACACACACACATACACACACACACACATACATCAGATACAGACCCAGTTCAGCAACAGTGAAACCCAGAACCTGGCTAAGGTGGCCAGTGTCAATCACCACCATAAACAGCTGCCAATTGGTGGCAGAGAGCAGAAGCCCCAGAATCTGTAGAGAAAGGCAGCCAAAGTAATACAAAGGGACACGGCAGAGGAGATACCCAAACACATCTTCAGAACCTGCCATATCCTAACTGAGGCACCAGAGTTCAAGGAGGGCTCAGTGGGGAAGAGAGCATTGATCTCTAAGGATGATACAGGCATACCACGAAATGTGCTTTCAAGAACATTCCCATCCAGGTCCTGTGTGTTACAGGACTTCTATTATTGACAGTCAAGAATCTTTCAAAAATTGGTGCAGAGTAAAATATTGTCTCTTAGAACCTATTTATCATCATCTAGCTTACTGGCCTCAGAAGACAGCAGAACATATTGAAGAAGTAGGGTGAAGTACCCATCTGGCCCACACACATCCCTATCGGAAGCAAGACAACACTATGATCTCCTTAGGAAGTTGTTTGTGTTGTTGTTATTGGAGTTTTATTGAGGGGTGGGAGAGCTGGGGAGGGTGGGGATGAGAAAAGAAAAAGAAAAAAAAGTCCTCCTTGGCAGTGCCCCGCTTTGGCTACAGAGTATCATGGGGAAATCATTTTCAACTAACCAGGGGACAGATCTCACTGGAGTCAGCCTAAACAATTCTCCAAGCAAAGCCCAGGAGCAGGAGAAGGAGATGCAGGTGCTGCCTGGGAGCAGTACATGTGTCCAACAGCTGAAGCTAATTAGGAAGGAAAGCCAACGGCAGCAAGCCGAGCACTGGAGCCCGGGGAGCTGCCTCTCCTCTCCACTGCCGCCACGGCCACCGCCGCAGCACACAGAGGGTTACAGTTCTGATGCACGCTGATTGACACCACTAAGGTTACTTGAGGCTTGCAAATCTCACCCATCACACCATGCAGAACAGTGAGATCAGCCCACCCAGGGAATACGGACATGGACACACACACACACACACACACACACACACACACACACACACACACACACACAGCGCACACACCAGTCTGCCCCAACCCCTTTATACCCATCCACACAGACACACAAACAGTTCAATGCCTCTGAAACCTGACACCTTTAATAAGAAAGGCAAGGACAAAATGGAATCTCATCTCACTAGTCTATTTTCCCAGTGGCGGCAGCAAGAGAAGAAAAATAAATCCAAGGAAAGGAAAAGGAGGCACAGCTGTGGAAGAGAAAAATCGGAGTCCCTACCTTTGCTCTGGATGGGAAGCTGGTCCTGTGGTCTCTGAAACACTGAGCTGGCCGTCCCCTCCTTCATGAACCAGTCCCATCTGTCAGGATTGTGTGCATTTTTTCATTAACACCTGTTTCAAGTGAGGGGTAAAAAAAAAATCTCATTTAAGGAATCTGCTTTTAAAAAAAATAATAATCCTCTATGCGCGTGCACCTACACCCACCCACCCCCTCACACACACATATACACATACACACACACACACACAACTGGATGCCCATAGGCATATCTGTCTAACTCCACACACATGAACGGTGAACAGATATGTACATTAAAGCACCAAACTGGGCAGTTGGATCATGGGAGAGCCTGTTGGTTGTGAGCATGCTCCGGCCGGGAACAAATCCATCCTCTGTTATTCCTCTGAATAAATATAAATCACGATCAGAAACCCAAACAGAAGCATCCCTCTCGAATTCCTGCTGCTGAAAAACACGGAATGAATTCAGCCTGCAGACGCAGAATCTAATCAGCAGCTGTTTTCTGAATCCAGAGCCAACCAAAGCCCCGCTTGTCTTTTCCACTATGAGTCCAGGCCTTTTTTTTTTTTTTTGAAAGAGGTTTTAACCTTTTAAAGATACAGTACACCAATTATCACTTCTGAAGAGCTGTCACTCAGGGCCCAAGAAACAAGGGCCGACAGAAGATAGCAGACTGTACTAGTTCCAGGACTCCTTTTATCAATGCCTTTAAAATGCATGCAAAAGAGGAGTATAAAATATGCACACCTTCATCCTTCCCAGACAGAGTCTTTTGAGAGAGAAAATAGCATGTTATGTAAACAATTAAGATGCCACAACTCTACAGCACACACATCCATCCATCACCACTGACAGCAGCACATGGCAGTCCACGCTCCCCATCCCTCAAGGATGGCTACAGAAATACAAAGTGACGGAGCCCAAACAGAAGTCACTGTGGCACATTGGCATCACATGGTTAAACTCTATTCCTAGGGTTTGCCCTAGCTGAGACCTTCTGTCTTCAAGCTAAAGAATTTCCCCTATTTCTAAATTAAAGTTTCTTCCAGGGCCAGGGTCCTTGCTCCAAAAACCTCCTTCCCACAAGAATTTGCAATTAATATTTCCACCCAGACGATTCTCAGACTTCAGGAGTCAAACTTTACTATTCTCCCTGGCTTTGCCAAAATGACAGATTTGTAAGGCTGGGGAAGGGGCAGGATAGAGACAGGAGTGGGACCACGGGGACCCAACCCAAGAGAAAGAGCTATTTGCCAATGACTTCAGCTGTCTGGATGACACTGTACACCAACAACATTTGTGGGGTTGAGAGTGATAAGGAGGAATGAAGAAACAAAGCCCTAAATAAAAATCGAGGTTTGATTTTTTTTTTTGCGTCCCTTACAATCTATGCACACCAGCAAGCGTGGTAGCAGACTTAGCCCTCCAGAGTGATACCCCCATATCGCTAAGTTGCCTGCTTCTCACCTAATGCGCATCTATCACCTTCTTACCTGAGCTGTCACATCAGGAATAGTCTCACTGCCATCCCCTGAGTCAAGTTCATTTAGCATCTAGCCTTCTGGTTAGAACAGAGCCCTCTTTCTCCCTTTGGCTGGCCCTGTCAGGCAGACAGACCATTGGAATCATGGAGCAATCCACTCTATTTCCCACCCACCTCATCCCTTCCCCCCTCCCCATTCCCCATACACACTCCTTCCCTCCCCTCCCTTCCAGGGCTCTTTAGCAGAAAATTATCATATTTCATGTGTCTTCGCTCCAGCTAGCTGGCCATCCCACTGATTGGCTGGTCCCTCGCAAACAGAGATGCCAAGGGCCAATCAGCAGCAGGGCTGGCTCCCCGGAACATCTCCAGCACAGACCTGAGCTCAGCAGGCTCACAGTGCAGAAGGGCAGACCCACCAGCTGGGAGCCTGTCACTCTCCCTCCCTCCCTGCTCCAGCCCCCAATGCCCGAGCCTGCGTGCTTCTCTATCAGGGGGGCTTGGGAAACACAGGTGACTCTTTCAGGCTTGTCTAAGAGCAAGAAGGAAATTCTGGGTTTTCTCCAACTGCAGCCAGAGGAGTCTGAGAGAGAGATCCTTATGCCCTCCCATAAGCTAATGCTTTTATCCTTCCCATTACCAAGGTTCAGAAAAAGCTTTGCTGGCAAAGTGGGGGCCCTCCTCTACCACTCTGCCCCTCCTTCCTTGAAAAAAAAAAAAAGCCAGTAAGGATGTGTGAAAATGAGCTCCTTTTCCCCACATAAGAGTCCATCAGATGCTTCTGACTCCTCACCTGACATTACATGTTCAAAAATGAATCTGCATCTAATCACAAGGCTGGCCAGGGCTTGTGCAGGTCACCTACTCCATCCCCCTACATCTCCCCCCTCCCAAGTTCCGGACTGCAACTCAAACTGCTTTACAGCAGTTGAAGTGCTCCTGAATCACTGCTTTAGAGAAAGACAGCCTCTGTTGCCTCCTGTGGCCTTACATCTCAGTAGCAGACAAGCCCTGCAATAAAGAATGTCTAACCTAAATCCTGTCTGCTGCAAGCAGGGCCCATTCCATCTTGTGTTATTGTCAGCAAGGTATCCAGGCTCTGAGGCCCTGTGACAAATGTGATGTCCTTCTAATAAGCCTCACCTAAGTCTATTCTCCTAAATGATTAGAACCAGTTCCCTTTGGCTCTTTTTGGTTGCTTGGCAGATACTATTTTTCAAAGCATTAATTGGCCTACTGTTCTTCTGTGGACTTCTTCAAGCCTTACTTTAATTGTGAAGATGAGAATTCCAAACAAGGCTTGGCCAATGTTGGAGGGACACGTACAGAAGCAACCCTGCCTCCTATGAGGGGGAGACATAATGTCCAGAAGCAGCAACATGATCGAGCTTATATACTCTGCCCTAGTCAGCCGACATCTGGAATGCTGTGTTCAGGTTGGGGCGCAGTGTTTTAGGAAGAACATTGACAAGCTGAAGTATATCCTGGAGTAGGATGACCAACACAGGAAGGGGCTAGACATAGGGGAACTGAGCTTTAATGTCCTAGAGTAAAGAAAAGCAGGCTCTCCATTCCTCCTGTAGCAGAGGTCACTATGAATCAACCAACAAGCATTCAGAGTCTACTATGTGTCATCAGATGCTGGGGGAGGGGACAGGGGAGTGATACAAAGACACAAATGAAATAGTCCTTGCCCTCAAGGAACTTGTATTCTTTAGGGGAGACAACAGAGACACATAATACATACACATACATTTATACATATATACATAGGTACATACAGATATAAAATATAGATAACTTAAAAGTATATATATACACACACATGCACATAGTTGATATATGTGTTATATAAGCATATGTGTGTATATATGTGTATATGTATGTGTTACATACAGAATAAATCCAAGGAAATGGCAGGGACAGCTGTAATAGCTATAGTGGGGTTAGAAGAAACCTCATGTTGGGGGTGGTGCTTGGGTTCAGAAAGAGACTAGGGATGAAACACAGGACAAGTCACCAAGGATTAAAAAGGGGATCCTCTTTTTAAACCAAAAGGAGATGGCTTTGTCAATCACAGATCAACAAATGAACAGGGGTAACTAAGACAGTTATTAGGATGAATCCAATAAGCAATTGGCAATTGCCTAGAACACAAGAGCTATCTCAAAGCCTTGTACAATCTAAGGGAAAATATGCTGCCCTTCAGCCCTTCCCCAGACAGTTACACGTAAAGTAAGACAGCATATTAGACAGGCAAGTAGAGGAGATGGTGCAGCAGGATTGTACACTACAGGCAGAATTAGGAAAAAGCCTCTCGTGGCACCTTACCTTCACCTGACTTTAGGAAAAGATTAACCTAGAACAGGGGTTCTTAAGAAGGAGCCCATCAACTTTTTTAAAAAGTATTTTGATCACTGTATTTCAATATAATTGATTTCTTTTGTGATTCTATATATTTTATTTTATGTATTTTAAAACAAGGTTCTGAGAAGGAGCCCACAGGCTTCCCCAGGCTGCCCAAGGGGCCCAAGACACATAGGTTAAGAATCTCTGGTCTAAAGGGTACACTAGCACTTTTAATCTCACACTGAATTTTTTTTTTTTATAAATACTGGACTTTTGTAAGAGACACTTAATAAAAGACCTCATATTCCTTCAAAATGCTGCAATCATAGAATCGGAATTTGAAAGGTGGGAGGGACTTCTCTGCCCATCTACTCCAAACCATGCCCCAAAGGATTCCCCATCAGGCCCCACTCAACCAATGGTCACCCAGCCTCTGCTTGAAGACATGTAGCAAACAGGGAGCTCATCACCTCCAGATGCATGCCACCCATTCCACTTGAGAACAGCTCCAATTGTAAAGGAATTTTTCCTGACATCAAGCTTTAATTGGCCTCTTGGCTCTTGGATTTACTCTCTGGAGCCAAAAAGAACAAACTTAATCCCTCTTCCACCTGACAAAAGCCTCTCAAATCTTTGAACACAGCCATTATGTCCACCCCACCCCCAGTTTTCTCTTCTCTAGACTGTGCTCAGGTCCTTTAGTGATCTTCAAAGCAGAGAAATTAAATGACATCTCCCATCCTAATTTCCCTCCTCCGGATGCTCTTCAGTTTTATCCATGTCCTTCCTAAACTGTGGCACCCAGAACTGAACATAATTCCTAATAAATTACTTGTTGACTGACTGACTGACTGACTCACCAGATGTAGTCTGATCAGAGACGGAAGAATACAGCAGGACTCCCAACTCCTTATTCCTGGAAGCTCTCTTAATGTGGCTCAAGATCTCATTAGGTTTGGTTTGTTTATTTTCTGCTTGCCACATCATACTGCTGACTCATATTGAGCTTGCAGGCCACCAAAACCCCCAGGTTTATTTTTTTTTCAGGCCAACTACTTTCTTCCCATGCCTCCTCCATCCTGTAGCTGGAAAGAAAGACAGGAGCCCTCCCCCACCCCCAAGGTGCCTATCGGTATCCTAAAAGGTATATTTGATATTCCTTCCCAAAAAGGTATATCTGAGCACTAATCATTGACAATCCATTTTGAAGTGGGGCTAAATTAAGACCCTGAGTAGATAGTAAACTAATTTATCTTCATCAATCTCAATTCTGGGGAACAGGGGCAATCTAGCCCCTGTGAAAGGACCTAAAGAATTCCAGTGACCCAAGCTGGTCAATGGTGTATCTCTGAGGCTGGTCACCAAGGAGCTTTGCTTGGAGAACATGACAATGTTCATGAGACCATTAGTGGGGAGGAGATAATTGTCCTCCAGGACTTATACTGAACAGGAGGAGGAGCTTCAACTTGACCTCCTTTTAGGAATTCCCTCTGTGAACTTATCACTCATTAATTTATGCATGGCCTGTGACTTCCTTTGTGTAGGAAACCCCAATGTTGGTACTCCCTTCATTGACAGAGATAAGCAACTTATCTGCAGCTGAGTCTTAGACAGTGGTTTGAGGACATTGGGA